TTCAAACTCATCTGGCAAACCGGAAAAGCGATCGCACGTTTATCATGGTTTTTCCACTGATTATCAGTTCGTTAGGAGAAAGGATAATCCGGCACATATCGGGTTGAGAAATTGTGATGGGGCCAAGTAATCTCATCTCACACTGAAACAGGCGAATATTCTTAGCGCTTTTGGTACCGTGACCCCCTTACAAGTATCTCTATCCTCTAAGCACAACCTCACCTGCCGCTGACTTCATTTAGTATTTTCTACTTCATCAATAACTGCCACATACAAGGCCCCTCCTCATTAAATATTGCCGAAAGTAAGCCCGTAGCTCTCTTAAACGTCCCACAGGGTGCTTAAAAATTGCACTCAAGAAAGACTCTGAGTTCGTGACCGCCTAGTTAGACCAGAATGTGATATTATCTAAGGAATATTCAGATTAAAGGACTGGCAATGTACGGTCGAAATATGTGTTCAAAATGTATGAGAGTTTAATCCCCATGCATATCTGCTCACTGCAGTCTGGGTCCCAAGATTTGACCAGTTTACCGTAGTTGGGTTCATTTCATATAGTGAGCAGCGGAGATTCCATAACACAAGCTACAACCGATAAAGTGATACTGGTCTACGATCAAATAGTGACAAAATTCAGAAATGAAGGATAATCAAGTTGAACGGAATGCATGCACATGCGCATGCATGCCCGTGTTTACGCCACAATAGTTCAGCTGACGCGAATGTGCCTGCGTAAAAATCCATCGAACTACACACGATCAAAAGAAAGGTTTGTAGCACGGATGAAAACGAATGAAAACACCTGAGTTCACTGAAAGAAAAGCCAGTCAAATGTCTGGATACATGGTATGAACTAAGCTAATGAGGGACGAGTGGTGCTAATTGTTTTAAAATTAGCCGCACTGTTGACCAGTCAACGAAACTAATTGATAAGTTTCAGGGTTTAGTTAGAAGACTTTAGGCCACGGTCCCAACAAACTTAGCCATCAGTGCCTTTTCAGCCTCATTCCCCCTATAGGTATGGGCTGACTTGAACTGGTGGGATGAATTTCGCAGGTGTATCTCCAGCTCCATTTGCAAACTGAAAATGGTGAGTGCAGCACATTTTAGAAGCTTCTTGGGTTGGCTTCGCTTTTAAATTGTGCAAACAGTTTAACGTTGAGCATCGGCTTTGCCTTTGTATAGAAACCCGTTTCTATCAGTCGACTAAAATTCGATTTAGTCTTAATTTTTTGACTTTAATTAAACTTAAGTTTCTTCACAAATGCGGATTACAGAGCGCATCTTGTAAAACTGAAATTCGGTACCGATTACACGGTCGCGGAGCAGCCTAAATTTGCATACTTTCGGGATTTCTAGATGGTTCTAAGTTCAGAAGACGCCTTTTGGGCAGCGTGCGCTTGCTCGCTCAGTAGAAAATCGAAGTTAGATTTTTACGAAATATACAAACGTTTACATTGAAGCTGCAGAGAAAACACCTGCTATGCGGAAATTTACTCCATCTCGTTTCCAGCAGCTAGTATCATGGATAAACGGATAACTTCCAAAATGCTGTTTTGATTCGGGCCGCAGATTTTTGAGCAACAACGGGGGTTTCTCGCCTCTGAAGCCCGTGATCAAAAGAGCTACTGGCTTACGTTAGCACATACTGCGACCAGATTCGAATTAATATTTCTCCTCAAGTTCAAGCAGCCAGGAGGAAAAGAATAGAACTGATTTTACGCGGAATTATTCACAAAGATGACGTGACCCTTTGGACACATTTGTCCTTTTTGAGACCTACCAGGTCCTCTCGGTCGTATTATCCACTTGAAAACCACGACAAACATACATGGGAATAAAATAAGTGCTTGCAACTAGAACTAGTGCTGATGGGTCATTCAGATGAATCTCCAATAAACTGCTCCTTCCTCTCTCACCGAGTTTGATTTATATAGGCCAGTTGGGTCAGCTACCACCTCTCATGTTGTTTCGCACTCAACCATTTTCGATGCGGTTGGTTTAACCTCTATTTTCGTATTTGCAGTGATTTTGTTGCTTAAATTTAAGTGTGCTGAGGAAAATCGCCATAATGTTTGGTCTGATCAAACACTGGATATCAGTAATACAAAATCCCATGTTTTTTTCAACATATAGGTGCCGTTTCTCATAAGGAGGCAACAACATGCATATTTCTGTGGGATGTTTGTTCGCGCCCCCACATTCCTAGGGGAATTTTATGGTTTCGTTTCCCAGAGTAATTCTCCCTCCCTCTTTCCCCAAAACGGCAGAAGCTTAGCAAGACAATTAGATTAGTTCACTTGGTTTTAAAGCTGTATGACCAATCTGACGTCAATTTCGCAACTATTGTGTGTGCACAAAACGTTATGCCACATAGATACATCTGCTGCAAGTTTAACAAGAAACTTTGGTAGCTCTTCAAGGCAGTGCTCGATTCGGCAATGATTGATAAAGCTGCGGTGGATTGGCCTAGTTTTCCGAATTTATCAATAATATGTGCACACAGGAAAACGAGTTTAAACCTACGTACTCATTTTGGTTAAGAGTGGCCATTTGTTCGAACAAGACGAAGTGGTATCAGAAACTTTTCGACTGTGCGCCCCGGTAGGATGACAGTCAGCAACCGGATCGATACAAATCATCACCGAGTATTAGTTGAAATGGTGCAGTCTGTTGACTAGAGACCAATCACCATTTCTGTGACAATACGAAGTCAAAGCTGATAGCGTTTTGGCTATCCATAAGAAGTTTTGTTTTTCAGTATACTTATCAACCCGATTTCCCGTTACATCGTGTCTATAAAAAGCCCTCGAAATTATCACTTTCTCAGAGAAGCACTCATGCTTATGATAATAAATTTAAATGTATTTTCATGATGCTCAGATTTTCACGGGTGATAGATATCCTTCCCTTCTTGTAGTAAGCAGTCTGAAAAAGATCTGAATGCGTTTGTCAACATTCGTCGGGCATTATTCCTCAGGTCTTTCACCGAGTAGAATAAAACGTAATATATTACATACTTCTAGACTGTTGGCACAACAGGAGGCTTGCACGCACATATTTTCTTATCCAGATCTCAGCCCTCTCAGAAATATGTATTTACTAGCTGGAAAAAAATAATTAATTCTTCCGGTATTGTCGACCAAATGTCGAAACTGTCCCGAACGGTAAACAATACTGAAACTAGCCGGTACACACTGTTCAGAGCTTGAAATCTGCTGTTTATTTTTTTCATTTTCGAGGGCGCAGTGTTTTTTTTCTGTACCAGTTGAAACAAACAACGTTGAAATAACAACAGCGAGTGAAACAGAAACTTTTTTTATAGTAGGCGAGATGCATTTGTGGAATAAACGGGAAAAAATTATGAATTTTTTCAATTTTTTAATTTTCTCCGGTAAATTTCGTGCGAGCACATTGCATTCAAGCTTGAAACGGCTTTGCGTGATGTTTATCATGTGACTGGAAAACTCTGTTTACCCTAACTCCAATGAGGTTATCAAAACCGACTTCTGTAATCATTTTAAGGAAATTGATGGATGGTGGTATTTGCGATCATTTACTAATTTTTTTCTATTTCTAAGCAACGATTCACGCTACCAACGTTGGAGTTGGAAGACACCAGATGAATATGCTTTCACAGTGGATGTCACTTAATAAAAAAGTAACCGTTTTCCTGTAAAAAGCTTTTGGTGCATAAATGCCAGATCATTCGAGAGAGGCATCGAAGATGAGATGGTCCCAGATTGCTCGACCCTAGACAGAAACCGTTGGGATGCGGAGGTTGGGTTTGAGTCAAAAACCTTCCGGTCAGTAAGTTTGTGCCTGTCAAACGAAAAAATGGTGCCAACGATACTGAAAATTGTTGCACTCTGTTCTGGAAGCACACACAAGGTGTGTATTTTGTAAGCAAATAAATAAGTCAGGAAACCTAAACCTAAAAGTAACACGCGGGAAAAATAGTGTTCATTTACTCGATGAAAGCTAAGTGATATGGTTCCAGACCGCTCCCCTTCGACGGTGAGTGAACTCGTATTTGCCATGTGAGATGGCTCTACAGCAGCTTCTTTCTCTAGCAGTGGCTTCACGTTTGGCACTAGGTTTGGGTAGGAAATCTTTCAAAAAATTCTCCTGTTAGTATTTCGAGAATGTTTGGGAATTCACCAGGGATTTATTCCTGCAATGTGCGTCAACCCATATCAGGAGGCCAAGGAACGCTTTAATCCTTCTTGTTAATGATCGGCTGTGCGCATTTGGCGACATTCCAGAGTGTTTTGGTGGCTCGCGACCGAGCATTCTATTGTTTTCTTACTAGTCGGAAGGTCGGGGGTTCAAACCTCTGAGTTTCGTGAAATGCACACTGCTGCCAGTTCTGATAAGGAGGAGAAAACTGTACAGTGCTTTTCGGTTTTTCGGCAAAGAGTGCTTTCACTTACAGAACGATATCTCTATCAAAATTGTTTTGATCAATACTGCAGTGTCTTGCAGATCATTCTCCAATGGTATTTGAACCTCAGCTGCACTTAGAAAATGGTTCCATGGATTGTAAAGACTGTTCCTAGATAAGACCTGAATGAAATATTCTCGAAAAGTTGATCCCACTTACTCACCTAATTAAATGCTAAATGTTGTTCCTCACTGAACGATTATACTCAAAATTACCAATATCTATCTCTTTTATGCGTAATTTTGTATTTGCAATCTTGGATGACCAGACACCATCCATAACCATTCACGAACTCTGGTTGAAGAAGTCATTCTCATCCTCCATTTACCTGATTTACTGCAAGTTTTTTAATCTAATTTGAGAGATTCCATTCTCTAATCCTATCTTGTGCGAGGGTCTCTGTGTTTTTGGAACTGCAAGTTATCTGTCTGTTCTCCCTTATTTGTCAACTTTTTGCTACTCCTGTTTCTGGATATTTGCAGTAACTTAACAGGGTAATTCGATTAAACGACTGGGATACATACTTTCGCCACCCCTACGAAGCAGAGAACCACGGCGACGATAATGCCAATAAATTCTGCTTGGCGCAAGGAAATAACAGAGTTTACAGCAGCACCGGACGTGCATCAATAGGGGAATCGAGTATAAGAGTGTTCCCACGAACTACCCATATGACCACAAACAAAACGAATATTGACTAGCTTGTGTCACATCGCACAGTGCTGACCTCCACAGAACACTGTCACAGTATGTTGACGTAACAGATTTTTACACCAGCCGTTTGATCTTGCACCAGATAAGCGTACTTCGACGAACTCCAGTGCACAACATATCCTCATCAAACTCATTTTGGCAAGAAAGTTTCAGAGAAAACCATCTAATTAGCTGAAATCCCTTGACGACGAGGATTTCGGACGACCTTGTTGATTTCCTTTTTCACTTCCCTCGGCCCAGGCTGGCTGCCACGGATTTCGATTGCATTTTCGATTAGCGAGGTTTGAGGCCTGGACGTACTGTTCACTGCTCGATACCGATCGGTGGCCCCGTAATTTAGGCTGCGACTTTCATTAAATGTGACGTCATTCGGCTTGGTGTGAATCGGCTTGACAACCTTAGATCTTCGAGCTCCCAGTCCGAACGCATGAGTGGTATAGATAACGTTTTGGTTTGAGGCAGTCCCGAAAAACTCCCGAACAAATGCCATGTCCGGTACGTGCGTGATATTGTCAGACTTGGTCAGCCATCTTCTTCCCCCTCCTCCCGGGCCGGTTGGTTGAGTGGTAGTTGCGTTCCTCGCCGGACATTTCGATAGATCCGGTCCCCTAATTGTACCCAAACGTGACCATGAGACACGTGCAAAAAAGGCATGCTTTTCTGCCTGTTCCAGGGTCATCCGTTCTTCTGGTAGGCGAAGTAACATTCTGTGCACAAAGTCGCCGCATATATGTGACAGCCTCGAGTTTGAGTCGTTGGGTAGATTGAGTTTCCAGTCGACACTCAAATGCTGACCCGGTTCTTTTTCCCAAGGCATGGGCAAGAAACTGAGGTTGGGAAAGTCAGAGATGGTCAGTAAACCAATTCAGTTTACAGAACAATGAGGGTTTTGGGAACTCAGTGTTGGATTGAAAATAAAGTTTGAGATAGGGAGTACTGAATAGTAGATTAAAAGAACCGTATTTTTCATATTCCGCTTCATTGTACTCTCTCATATTTCATCCTTCTGCTTCTGGAAAACTAAGGCTTATCGAAGGTGATATCCTAATAACTTTATACTTTGATCAAGCTCTTTCAGATTAGGCTATTCCACCAAACATTAATTATTTTGCTGGCCAAAAATACGGTCATTTCGAGCCCATGACACTCCCTACCGGGCACGGAACTACTTGACAACGTATCTGCGAGTTTATCCAAATAAAGTAAAAAGACACAGGTTGCAAGAAATCAATATTCTACCTACCGTTTTTGGTGACGAATGTCAAACTGCTAGTGTGCTGGCTAATTGCATCGGAGCGAAGAGTCGGTAGTGACTATCACTATTTCACATGACAAAGGTTGAGTTGGGACAAGTCCCGGGGCAGGTGGATATTTTAACTGAGTGATTTTTGCTTACATGGCATTGGATACTCCGTAAAACTCACTCTTTTAAAGCTGTGGTCACTGTGCAAAATTCAGAATGCTGGGAGCGATCAACTATGCGACTGGTTTCAGATCTGTGCTTCGGAGTTCAAAGCGCCCTCATAAAAATGAACAAACTTCGAAGAAGAATCCTATTTGTTAACCTACACGAAAAATCATGCGTTCTGGCTCTCACGATTTATTAGAGACCAAGTTGGCTCGAGGCCAGTCTGACGGGCAAATTAAACCAGTTTCAAAATCCAACGGTTAGTTAGCTGTCTGAAAGTTTTCGACCTGTAAGGCGGCTAGAGTGTATGAATAACATGGCTGATTTATACCCAAATAAAGAACCAGATGTTGTCAACCTTGCCTAAGAAGAGCAGGTAAACAAATTACGGATCCTCGGAGATAAACAAAAAATCAGGAAGGATAACCCTTGAACTATAACAGAGTCTCATCCCAAGCCACTGTAATCAGTCAGAACCAAAATTAAAGGGCTTGAGGAAAACTCATAGTTTCAGTACGATCCACTCTTAATATGTTACAGTAAATCTACTGCAAACTGTCCTGCAGACTATTTGACCTCACTGTCATCACCTGAAAAATGCAGACGCCTGACTCTCCGAAGAATCGCTTTGAAATCGGCTGAGCAGTTGTTAGTGATTGTCCAAGTTTTATATCATTGATTTGACACCGTGTTTACTACTATCCCACCGGGGGAGGTATGATTTTTTCTGAACTTCTAAAGTTGACGTTTTTCCTGTACATAGAATATGCTCTCTGATTCAGATGAATCTGTCAACAAGTTGGTGGTATTGTAAAGTAACATCTAGTAGGTCTAACTAACATTTTTTAAAAAGTTAAAGTTATGGTGAAATCTTAACTGTTCTTTTTACAAACGATACGACACATCGGAAGATGTGTCGGTAGACCTCTTCAATCAGTCTTCAATCCAGATAAAAAGTGACCCTTTTGTGCACACAACTGGCTTAAGCGCTGATTTGGCAAACCAGGGCAACACGAATTTAGAGCTATCCTATTTTGATGGTCTCCATTCGGTGTGTTGGTGGCCACCAGCCTCTTCTCGAACGAATCTCACTAGCTTGTTTGAATGAGCTTATCCTTTGTACTGAATAACTCTCTCCAACTGCTTTATTCACCCGAATTCACTTAATTTCCTTGTTGTTGTCCCCTCGTTAATTTTAACTTTGTAATAGTACCCGATGGACTGTGATCAAAATCTCCCTTTGCAGGGGTATTACGCACCAAATGCCACTCTCAAATGGGTTGATTATCTTTAGAAAAATGCAAGCCGCCATTGGATCCAATGTTTGCCAGCTTCATTCTGGCGGCCTGTTAGTTAATTAGCCGCAAATTCATGTTTTAACTAGGCAACCGTTCGGACTATCGTAAGCAATAAGTTAGGCAGATAAGATGTATCCTTTTCATCCCATACTGTCCCGCAGTGCCCATAGGTTGATCCTAAGGTGCATTCTTGTTAATTGAAGTTTATTTCGCTAACTAATACTTAACTACTGCAACCACTAAGTGCCTAAATATTGTCACCCGAGCTTTTTTGGAACTCTGGAAAATTAAAAATATGAGTCACTCGGTCCCTGCCTCTAACGTAAAGCGGCGTGACATAGCTTAGTAAATGGTAGGGCCACTGTTGTACGAAAGAATTATATTTCAGCAAAATGGAGTGGAAATGCAGCCAATAGTTCGCTGGGGAATAGCAAAATTGGCGAAGGGTAACGATGACGTTATGTGGAGAAACACTACTGAGCCGAATTTATAAGCCCACACTTCATCTGAGCCGCTGTCCCCGAGATAAAGAAGGAATTACCATTCAATTCCACTTAACTACTTAAATCGGACACAGTAGTGTCTGGATGAAATTTTTCGGGGAAATCAGGAGCGGTCTGACTCTCGAAAGCATGATGGCACACTATACACAGCTGCCTAGTTTTTATGTGCCCATTGTATGTTCTTTTGTGAAACCGGCTCCAAACTTTTGTAAAAAGCCAACTTCATCGATAAGCCATCTTCACCCCCGCCTACCGTTTCTTCTTAGTTGTTTTCATTGTGGTTTCTTCAAAGCAGTTTTCTTGCACCACATGCGCGTGAAAGCGTCTACACATTACCAGTTAGTTCTTAGAGCCCAAAAACAGACATCTTTCAGTGTCTGAAAAACATTTTTTCTTCTTGGACAGGTACATAATAAGAAACCTATGTACCTAATTTGCAAACAATTTTGGTTTTTTGGGACCCAGCTTAATCTCTCGCGTATGATGTTTTTAAGCAACTGAATGTGCTGCACCAGGTCACCTCATGTATCAGATGTTATTATATTCAAGATATTGCGACACATGCATAGGCGTAGTACGCTAACCATAAGGTTGCTGGAAACTCTTCGACAGCCCACGACCGGTTTCGCCCTTCTTGGGCGAGCAGATCAGTAGCCACCTGATCAACAACCAATAAACCAATAAACTTAACAACCAAACTACCAACGTTTCAACACAGTACCAAAAGTAGTTATGTCCACACCTATTGAATAAATTAGAAGTGACAGCCTAAGGGTAAAAAACAGCCGTACCAAGGTCGAATTTTAATCATTCTATTGTCATCTAACTAATGTGTTATCGAGTCTACTGATGAGACCTATCGTATCACGACTGGTTACCTTTTACCGGGTCGCTAAGGCTTGCGGGGAGTAACTAACACCTCAAGAGAGAGGGCGAGGGCAACAGAATAGCACTGATAACAAATATCGAGCACTGATGCTTCCGGGTTCTGGTTATCAAGTCAACACATATCCAGCAGTCAAAATAATGAAGACGACCAAATCCTGCGATCAAAACAAACAAAAAACAACATGGACGAGTAACTGACATGAAAATGGGGTCGCATCTAATCTGATAGGGAGTAGTTAGTGTGAGTAGGTTTCACAGTACCTGTTATATAACCGTGATGCGGATAGTGGTTGCAGTTTCTACTGATGATCCGAAACAACTCTCGCCCTAGAAAAAAGGTTAGTGGGACAAAACAGGAGTGAGAAGCCTGAAAATGAATGACTACGTGTGGCAGTATAAATTATTCCAGTTCCTGAGTATACGCCCAGGACTGTTAGTAGCCGTACACTATTTCCAAATCGCCCATGTCAAGGGACAGGATGCAACAAATGTAATGGGGTGCTTCAAGCTTATGAGGGCACAGCTCACAGTTGTTCGAAAAAGACGAGGAAATGAACCGTTTTCGGTCCACATGGCCTAAATTGTTAATTGTCCTAACGTGAGATAAATTTTTTGTCAGTCGGATTCAGAGAAGGGATTATGTGACTCCAAATAAATGGGCGTGTTAGGTGCACGGAAATTTTCACAAAAGACCTGCTTCAGGAGAGAGATATTAGTTTGGAATGCCTTAACAGTTCACCAAATCAGCGAATCAAAAACTGCTGAGCAGTTAATGGGATTTTGTGTCATACATCCAGGTTACATCTAGCTATTCGTCCTAAGGAGAATGATGTACACGGCACTTCGTGGGTTCAAGTCCTCAGTATCAACAGTTGTTGGTTCCTGTTTCCCTTCATGAAATTATTTGACCAGCCAGTTTTTAGTTCCGGCTTCCACCTTATTCTGACGCCATAGAGCATGCTAACACAGTATACACAAATCTTCTGTGTCTATGTCCCTTAAAAGCCAAACTTGTAATCGAGCTAAGACTAAAAGCTTCAATCAAAATGTATTCCAAACACCTTACCTCGGAATGACTTTTGAGACGAATTTAATTGCAGAAATACCATCAAGTTCCTGATAGACCAGACTGTACTTTGTATTGAGCCTGCTAAGTAAGTATTCAGATTTCATTGCCAATAGAAAGACCAGCTCCGGAAGTGACGGGAGTACATAACTGCCAATGGAAAAACCGTTTTTCTTTGAGACAGATTTCATTGGTTGTTCTTCACTCGCCCTTGACAGATGAGTTGTACCCTTAGTGACACTTTTGACCGCTTTTACACGACAGTGATCAAGAGAGCAGCTGGCTCGCACGTTCATTGTCTTTTCTGGTTTGGTCGAGCGCACCAGGCGATCAAGCGATATTCCATACCGAAGTTCATGGCAATAAAAAGGCATTAAGTGACTGTGTTTCACAACAATTGTTTTGATGCCAGTCGATGCTAGTTTGATTCCCAATCAATCAGTAACTAAACCACTTACACCCAATGGCAATCACGTTACTCTGCAAACAATGGGCGGTCCGATAATTTTGTTGTGATCTGCATAAATCCAAAACCCGTTAAACGCAGTATGACATGTTGTAACTCAGCACGCTTTTCATCTCCCAAGGATTTTTTTGAGGTAAAACGTGACTTGGAAAAAATTTCTTTGAAAGGGAGCATGGTCCTAGATGCAGTTTTTTCAACTTTTATTTTGCCATCTTGGTCGGCAGTCTCTTCCTCGGTATTCATATAAACTGCATCACACTAGTTCCCGTTTGCTGCGATTGTTCACGTTTTGTGTCAGAATAGTATATCTGGATAACAGAATATGGCTTTAGTAAGTCACTTCAGGTAGCAAACTCTAAGAGGGATTCAGTCGAAAGAGCTAGCTAATGTTTTCACACAGGACTGTTTCAAGAATGGCACTGAAATCCAGAAGAACAAACGTGTCTGTAAAAAACGCAACTAACAGCTGATGTATCAAGGTATATTGAAGGATAAAAGGTAGATAGGAACTTTCGGACCGAACTTACATGCCATACCCCAGTAGCATTTCAACCAGAATATACCCCAGACCCCAAGAATCAATGAAGTGACAAGTCGACTGCGAATGGTCATAGATTTCTGGTGCCAAATACGCCGCGAAATAGTATCTTGTCGGTGGTTGGTCAAAATCTTCCGAATCATTTGAGCCTTCCTCCAAGGAATCATGGTTCTGATCCACTTCTGTTGAACTTCTGAACCGTTTAGCCATCCCGAAATCGATCAACTTTGGTCGGCCACGTTGATCAAGGACAACATTTTCTGCCTTCATATCTCTAAAAGTAGGGCCAGTAAGGCATTCAGCGTTAGGCTTAAAAAACAGCTGAGTAACACTTTTGTTATTCTTACCAAAGGCCTTCATTAATGTTAAAACATTGTATTTATATTTAAGCACATAGCTACATGCAAGCAGGTGTCGTTTTTTAAGTTTTGGGGACAAGTTGATTAAAAGTCGGCAATATCCAGGAGACATTTCTCCGGCGAAATAGAAAGCTAGAAGGCTTCAAAATTTAGTGTTTGTATACGTGGCTATAGTAATTTTTTTAGATGAACGTCTCGCTTGCCGTTGCGACTAGTTTACGCCATTCAACCCGATAATTCCAAACCTATTTGAAGGTTGGTGTCTACAACCAATTAAAAGCACTCCGATGTCACCAAGTCATGATGTGGAATCGATCCATCTTTGCGCACCTTTGTATGCCAAATTCCAATGATTCCCAAACAAACAAGGCTTTCTTTTGCTGAATAACTGAGTAGTTATTTGTGTCGGGAATACCACTCTAAAAATGTCAGGCCTCCAAGCAGCTCGGAGTCGCCAATGATTGGTGCGTAGTACCATAACTTAGCATTGAAATTCCCTCAAAGATGCGTTCGGTTATGTATTTTGAATTTTATTCCATTTTTTCCCTGGAATGCGCTGTTTTCAAACAGCATTCGTGATAAATGAGCACAGTATACTGCACTCACTTCGTACATCCACATTCCCTCTTCTTCGCTGGAAGCAGTACAGTATGCAATTATATCGCCTGCCGAGAAAACCAGGTGTAGTATCAGGCAGTGTCGTCTGTTTGCACGAAAATCTGCTGTAAACAAACCGCCTTGTACACTGGCTCCGGTCTGCTGAGCAGAATGGTCTGTCAATGTGTACGGATTCGCTGGTCACTTCCAAGTACTCCAGTTACCCCCCGAGCACAATCAGCACTACCGTCTGTGGTTTACACTTAGCTGCGTGTGCGACCAAATGAGAGTTCTGTGTCTGGTCCGGTTTAAATCCCTTGTCATATGAACGGAGGTCGAACAGGAGGGTATAGTTATGAAGCCGTCAGCACACCCAGCTGGTGGTCCGTACTAATAAAGTTTGGGGACAGCTGAAACTCGCGTTGTGTGTGAACTGTGTCCAGAGGGCAGTGCCTTTCATAAGACGTACCCAGGGCACACATATACGGATGGCTTTTGTTAGCCAAAAGCTTGTACAACGCTGATCATGAAGAATCACTTCCAGCGTCTGCCAAGCATTTTTGCTTCTGAATGAGCACGACAACAGACGGCGGCATTACAACTTGGTCCTTATTTACAGTTCGTCGTCAAAATGCAGCACTGCGCTGTTCGCAAGGTATTCGAAATCATACAACAACAGATTCACCGATCAGACTTAATAAGCAGACAGTAGGTAGACATATCTGCAACTGTCGGATGCGCGTGGGAGAGATTTTCTGCTTCTTCATATTGTTTAGTGTCCGCTCGCAGTCCAAATGAATGTTCCTTATTCTCGTGGGGCTTACAGCACGCAAGCTGGGATCCTAAAAATGACTGTCTCATTGGTAAGTTCCTCACTATAAGACAGTAGTGTCAAACCCACTCAAATAATCCATCAGGAAACTAGGCCTAGTGTTGATGGCTCACGCCGATGCACAAAGTGCAACGGTTACCGTTTGGTGCGGCGGAAGTTTCTCGGGTGTTATCTCCAGCAGAAGATTGTAGCTTTTGCTCCAGAAAGCCTAAGAAATCGGTACAGTATAGTTCCTTTCGGATTGTAAACCCTTTAAAGAACGGATCAAACAAACCCTAGTAAATTTTTTTCGGGTCTTTTCCACACTAACCCCTCCCCTATAAGGTAGATGTCATGGGCGACACAAGTAAGAGGAAAGTGGAAGGGCAGATAATAATTCGTTCGCAGCCATACTCTCTAAGAGAGCACGCACCAGGGTCGGACATTTTACATGGTCTTTAAAATGCTGCCGTGGACCTCTGCCACCATTCCATGCAATAACAAAGAATCAGACGTCAAGTGTCTGACGGTAGTATGGCTGACACCCAATTCTCAGTGGCCCATAAAATTTCATGATAGAATAAAAGAACGCATTCCTGAATAACAGATACCTGTGGTCTTACGTCAAAAAAAAACTAAAGTACCATTCCTTGCAGAGCGAATGTTCCATTTACTTTCTCCTTGATAAACGCAGAAAATTCAACAGCGAGCACAATCTTGTTAAAAATTTATAGCGTGGATATCTAACTTCCAATCCGGATTTCCTGCAACGACCTACACCTTACCACAACCGTACGGGTTACTCAATCGTAATGCTCCAAAATAATCCAACATTACAGATCCGGGCCATGTGATGAAAAAAGATCAGAGAACGGCTGTCTACAAACCCACGTACAGCACTGACCCAGACCAGACAATACGATGCACTTCAGTTGATGAGTTTCGGTGGCAAGGCCGTCAAGCCAACATTAGCATGTTCACCTGTGTTTTGCTGCTGCAGGATCTTTATTTTCTTAAGTGCTCTTGGGTGAAAACAGCAGCAAAAAGCAGAAGGAAATCGTCGCTAGCATTTGACGCATTTTTAATGTACGCAGAACCCAACAACCCAGCTAATGTCTGTTATGTCCATTATTTTACGGCGTAGAAAAAATTGGATTGAATAAAGCTCACTGCACGAGAACCCAAAATTTACGTAAGCCCTTGCATGGCCTAAAAAACACCGGAAGACGCTCGTAAACAAACTCGACAAACAACTGAAGAATTGTCCGGTGTCAATATGGAATAACCGGGCATTGTATCGATTAGAAGAATGCAGGGTGAACTGGCTATGGATCAGAAGATGAGATGTTCTTATTGGTCAGCATTTGAGCCAATCAGAATAGGGCCCTCTATGCTCGGCGGTTTCCAATACATGACAAACAGTTTAGCGTGACCTTGCGGACAATTCTGGGACTGCTGTAGAGACAGAACTGTAGTAGTTCCTTCGTTCCACAGAAGACTGTCTCAGGCTATCGTTCTTTTTTATTTGTCATAGTGAGTAGAACAGCAAAACAAGGACGAGTACAAGAGTAGCGAAACCTCAACAAGGACAATCCAAACAAAACGAGTTGTCATTCATTACATGACTCTTGTACCGAACACTAAGATGACTAAGCCTGTCTGATTACTACATCTCAGTTTTTTCCACAATCACCAGCAAAAATTCTCTGATGTTCATCGCGATTTTTTTCTTTTAACAAGGTAGTCATATCAAGGTTGAGGTGGTTCGAACATGTTGAGCATTTCCACCATCAGGTTTGTTGTACATTAGAAGAGTATTCACCTTCACAAAAAGTTTCGCCTGGATTGTGAAAGGTCAGAGCTCGTGCCAGAAACCATATGACAAGCACTCATTAGTTGGTGCAAAACTGAAAAGCCTTTAGAAAACACCATATAAGATAAAGCACCCACTTGTGTATATGTCGAATATTTATGCCACGGAGTCTCTCAAACCTCACTTGCCTCACAAATGTATTTTCGCTCGCATAAATTTCTCTGTCTAGTGTGTGGAAGATGCAACACTTACCTGTAAACAATGGAAATGGAGTGTAGGTAACGAAGCGCGCACAGTATGCAGGCTGCGTAGTAGGTGGCGTAACATTCAGGAAGGGTTCCCGTTCGCGCTATGTGATTCCAAAGGCATCCACCATCCAGCCATTCCAAAGCCATGAATAGTGTGTCCTCTGTTTCATAAATGTGGAACAGCCTGGTTGTACAAGAATAGATATGGTAATGAAGAAGACCCGGCTTCGTATAATTTAGATTTCGGCGAGTGGGATGTTTTAAAAAGGGGTTTCATATCTGACCGACCAGAACCCTAAGCAAGAAGCACCTCCATTGCTTCAATTTTCTACTAATAAGAACCCCACACAACCCACAACCATGTCGCTTCATCTTCGTGGACAAATGGCGCGTTAGTGATGTTGTATGTAGTAGCATTCGCGCACACATTTATTCGTTGTTCATATCTTCTTAGACCATCAGATTGTATCATACTTGTTGGATAATTGTTGGATAACGTCGAGCTGACAGCCAACTAAATAGCTACAACCTCTGTATTAAAAGCCAATGGAGCCATCGCCTATCAAAAACCAAAGTGGATGTTCTATTCCCTTACCTATTCCTGAACTTTTTCGCAGCTCCATCAAAAAAGTTCTTTTCATCCACCGAAACAGTTCAACATTCACGTCAAAATAGATCAAAGGAAACAACAGCTGTATGCCTCATCACGTAAGCCTGGATAAAATTTTGCTAAATATTATGACCGCATGATCCTACAGATCAATCCGAGCCAAAACGTGACGGTGGAATAAATGAGCGAAGGCACTGAAAAAATTTTCACACCTCGGAAACATAGGGAGACTTTGGAACAAATGACAACATTTCTGTTTACTTTGTAGCTTGTCCGATTGCAAAACAAACTACCTCGGTAATGAGCAGTTAGCCATGTCTAACTAAGATGTACAACTGATCAGCAATTGTCTAGCAGTCTCTGTGCAGCTACTAGACTGGGCAGTCTTGACAGGTGAGCCAATCGATAAACACAACCAGGTCATTGGCTGTTGGTCTGTTGGCCGAGATTGGCAGTTGGATGGCAAACGTTTAATCACCTCGAGAAATGCACCCATTTGCAAATCGATTTGGCTTTCACGAGAGATTCAACTGAATCTCCCGTTTATAATATTCTACACTGGAAGTGCTGCACACAGACCGCTCCATGTTTCAGTTGGCACGATATTCGAGATATTGAAGTATATTTTCATAAAGGAAACTACTCACAAGGTCGAAGAGTTTTCAGCAATCTTGTGAGTAGTTTCGCTTAATCGCCTCGTTTGCAATCCAGCTGCCAAGCTCGGTGAACAACCAACCAGCGCACCCGAGCTACCTATATTCCACAACACTGCCACAACCAGGATGGTCACTGGGTTTTCGTTCGAGGCTTCGGACAAACCAATTAAACCTCTCAAGCATGAGCACGTTCACCTTTTCGGGCGTAGTGATTCAGTTGCGCTTAGCGTTCACCGGTTAAGTTGTGCAAACACGCTTGTCTAGCATGTCCGACGTCTGGAGATCAAATTGGATCATGACCAAGGAACTGCACCTTTGATGAGCCCTAATAGGGGCGAAACTGGAGTTCAGTGATTTTGCTGTTTGGTTTGGACTCGCACGACAAGTGTCCTAGGGCACTAGGAGACTTGTTCAAACGACATCAATATGAATAAGAATTTTACATATCACATTCCGTCCTCTAGTCAGCTCTTCAACTTGGCTGCTTCCTGACTTTCACTGGAAACTTTTAATCAACCTCCAGAAGACGAGCATGCAATGATCTTCCATTGTTATCTTTCAGCAAATTTCAGCGTTGTATTAGTAGCTTAGCTCAAAACGACACAAATTAAGCGTTTTCATGAGAGTCGTCGTGCACAGTTATGCGTGATATCCTCATGGTCAACATTGTATACACAGCAAAATCATTATCGTGTTCATCACAGTTGTCAGTAACAGCACAGAAATAGCCAGCAATACTATGCTTAAACAACAATCATGGCAGCGTTCATTATAATCCCACGAGCGGTCAGTTCTTAAATCGCACACAGCTGAACAAATTTGCGGAACATGGGATGTGTATACCAAACCTAGATGAACTCGACTGTTTCAACGGTACTTGGGCAAGTTTAAGTGGTAGCTTTTGATGAGCAAGCTCTGGGTCTGTTTTTCTTTCAATCAGTATCATTTTCATCAACAATAACACTGTTATCGTAGCCGTCATCATTATACACATGGACAACAACAACAAGAACTCTGTCATCATCATCGACAGCATCATATCAGTGTTCAACACCGATGCTTCACTGCCGTACAACCATTATTTATTTGAAAGCCTTATTGTAAAGAAGAGAGTAAAGGTGGACGGGGAAGGGACTTAGTGCTAGCTTAACACTAGACTTAAAACTAGCCTAGACTTCGAGACATTCACTCAGGCAATCTGGAGAGAAACTGACAACAAGAACGTCACTGACATCGGGCGGTCCTCATCCTGGAAGGCGAGTAGCACCGACAGCACCCAAGCGTTTCGTGACCTCCTTCATACTCCTCTGTCAAGTCAAAGGTTGGCCACCTCTCTGTTCACACCACTTTGAATTGGGCATGGAACAAGAACTCTGTACTGTACGATAAAACTGCCGTGGGATCCACCTGGCCCGTGAATATCTTGAACCATCACGACTACAAATGGCCGACGCACAACTTTTTGTAAACCGGAAGAGCCCTCATAACTCAAACCCTCATCGGCAGGAAATGATGTGGTGGATGAACTAAGAAGAATAAGCACGAAAGTAGTCATTTTATGTCATCCGTAATGAAAATAGTCGCGTTTCTCTTCCTGTATTCTGTCAAGGTCCATGCCAGGCACTTAGTTTGTGCGGACATTAGCCTGTACTTGCCTAGGAATCGCACTGCTCCAAGTCCACTTTGGCACTGGTAGCCTATTCGGAATAGAAAGTCCACTCCCAAAGAGAACACTCAAACAGAACACTCGTAATTACGCGATAGTATCAACAAAAAAGGTCGGTTAACTGTTCATCCATTCAACTATGACCAGCAAATCCGTTTCGAAGTCTACCTACCGTAAGACAAACAGGCAGTTAGACTGACATTGCCTGTAGGAGTAAGGAAGCCGTGTGGCTCGCGTCCTCAAGAACAACAACCCAAAATCTGATCAGCATCAAGACTCGCAAACCTAGCTGAATATTTATTTAGGAATGTCTGAATTTAATCGAGTTGGCCTAATCCTGAAGCCGATTTGGGTCCAGTATGATTGCTACATGCTCCGTCACAATGTGTTGTGTCGACCTAAAAAATTTGGATAGATGTTTATAAAGTTACTGAAACATTATGCTTGTACTGAAAAAAATGCTGTCACAGGTGGTGAGACCTACCGTACGATAAAGTCGTGTCGTGCATGACGCAACAGTTTGGCCTCACGGCGTTCGATGGCCCACGTACTATCCGATCGACCTTCACGTTGTTTAAATTTCAGTGCATAGAACTGCCCTGTGCTTACATTTGTCACCCATGCCACGGTGCCTTGTCCACCTCGAACCATACGAGTTGGGCGAGCTAGTTGAAAGTTTGGCAAACTAGGGACAAGGGTTTTCCCGGCGCTGATGCTGGGTGTCTCACCTCGGTGCTCTGCTTCTGCTGAAAATCCTGTAGGTTTTCCAGAAGTGCTTCTAGACAACCTTGGATTGGTAACCGGCTTCTTTAGTGGCAGGTGCCAGGAATAGAGCACCGGTTTGGACTGTGCAATCACCATACGTTTGACCAGTAGACAGATGCATGGTTTATCGGGCTTTATGTCTGAATGTCGTCCCGTAGGGCATTCGTTGTGATCATTGCTTGCAGGCAAGGCTCCTCTCTGCTTTTGAGGCTTCTTGATTTGCGATGGTGATCTGGAAAAGCTGCGCTTTGAAGAAGCCATTGTGATGGATTTGGTTGCTGCAAACCGCCGGTTGTGTATTGAAGATATCGAGCTTCTATCAGCTGATCGTTCAAAACGAACTACGAAGGACAACCGGAATAAACAAGCTTCTAAAGGCGAAGTGAACAATACCTTTAGGAAACCAAATACGGGCTTGTTACGATCATGGGATTGGCCTTAAGACAGGAGAGTAGTAGTTGCCCCATACATATATACTAAGAAGAAATTGTGAGGAAAATTCTGGTTTTTCTACGTCCCAGAGATTTCCAAACTGAAGATGCTTCCGTTGCTGACACTTTCAATTTTCACGGCGCGTTATTCTTAACAAATATCACTGGAACATTGCCAGCTGCAGCAATTTCATAAGCTTAGGTGCATCCAGGCCTAAGGCTGTTGGTCACCATACAGCCATCACTTACTAGTAACAGCTCTTACAGGGCAGCGTTCGAAGACCGATAACAGAAACATGTTCGAGGTCACTTAAGACCAGGAGGTTTGCTCGTTTCAGTATGTCTATCATGAGGATGGAGCTTGACCATCACATCACTTATTAACTGACGAAAATGTGGGTCTAATCAAGACCACAATTTGGAAAATTAGGGTACTACGCCGCTGAGATTGCGCTCCGGTTCAAATGGTTAGGCCCTAGCTCCCAACTCTAGCGAACATAAACATAAAATTCGGAAAATCCTGAGGCTTTTAAACTTCCTTGGCATTTTAAACCTAAATCTTATCTTACCGTACTTTGTTCACCGCATGATTAGGCAACCAAATCTCGTCTAACCAAATTGTGCTCGTACGTGCGAAACATGATTGATCAAGTATGGCAAACTGCCAACTGAGTTCCCTACTTTGTGACATGTGGCTACAGACGTCGTTGCATCCGGCTGAGGGTTCTTATTATGAAACCGGCCACTCTCCCTGGGAATTTTCGGTTTACTGAACGCGTCTGCCTTCCGATCTTTATTCGGCACTGTAGACAGCCAGTCGGAATGACCACATCCGAAACCCGTGCTGTTATGTTGTTTGTAGTTGGATTGCATACTACTAACGAACCATGAGTAGCTCAAAAGGAACAATACTTCAGAGGCCACATGACAATGAATGCTGGGCCACCATGAAATGGGACAGTGCCTTATAGTTCCTTGTTCGACGAAAAAAGTGAGGCCTTTGAAACAGCCGTTTATGTTATCCCGGGGCCTGTCGACGAAGCACCTTATCGACGAGCAAAAGAAAATTTTCAATCGATGCTTCGGAAGCCTTGTCACAACCTACCGCGCATACCTCACTTGTTCAACAATACAATGGCGACGCTGAGGCTTTCAGAGAGTCCTCATCCGTTGTGGTGTATTATCCTTATGGATGCTAATCACAACTAGCCCGGTGCCTTCAAAGGCCACATAGAAACTTCCATCCTGAATGTTATCTATGAAGTGCGTCCTTCCTCCTGTAGGAGACAGATGCATTACTAGGAGCAAGTGATTTGCTGCTTAGGTAATTCGGTATGTTAGTGAGTGAGCATGTAGACAAGAAGGAAAGCAAATGCGTAAGGAAAGAAGTGACCAAGGAATGCAAAACTATTCTCAGTGGTCAAGTGCACTAAACCTACCAATATATCGTTGCGAGCATAGGCAAACTCATTGTATCCGCTGGAAACCTAAAAACTAACGCACCAATCTAATCCGAAAGGGAAGAAAACTAAAGTGTGAATGCTCCTGAACAGCTCACTTTATTTGGTGATTGATCAGGTGGCTGTTGATCCGTTCACCGCGCTTGGCAATCGATTTTCAAACGTTTCATCACCATTCGAGGAGACATCTTGAGTGCGCTGTTGGTTGGGTCTCCTGAGGTCCTCGAATGGCGACGAAACGTTTGCAAATCGATTGTCAAGCTCGGCGAACAGATCAACAGCTACCTGATCACTTACCAACTAATATACCCGAGCTACCAATATTCCAACACATTACCAGCTCAGTTTATACGTAGTCTCATAGGATGGAGAACGTTCTGGTAACTTAAAAAAATTCCGTACAAAACTTGAGGCGGCTTTTGTGCAGCACATTATTTGATGAACATCATGAATTCAAGATTCGGCTGAGAAGCACATGAGCCTCCCGTTTCCACCAACTTAATTTGGAAACCACATAACTGCATGCAGTTGAGTTTCACAGTCTTAGCTTAAATGACCGCTCAAACTGGTGGCAGTGTGCGTACTTGACAGGGAGAAATGTTAGCAACAGGCCCACAACAAACCCTCAAAAATCTTCCAAGCAATGCCGTTAATGAGGGTGATAAATCTGCTCTTTTTAAAGGCTGTGTTTCAGACTATGATTCCGTATTTCCTCGTGAAGAGTTTAGGAATATACAACTTGAGTCTGTTACGGAGACCAGCTCCACAACTACGTAGAAACAATGCTGTGAAACCTCACCCATCTTTACCAATAAGACCCATGGTTCGCCAGTAACGCTTGATAATGCGATTCAACTAAAGTTATTTGGTTATACTATACCTTGGCAAATTTATACTGCACCGAAGTGCATTGATTTTTATCCGAAATTAGGTTCCCGTGGTCTAATTTAAACTTTAATTTACACACTGAAACAAATCTGGACTCATTGGACGCTTGGAAATTACAATCAGTCTATCAGTGGACACTTATCGCGCCATTTTGTCCATAATGGTTCCATGTTGAGATATTCCGACTTTTTCTGTTGGTTTTTCGGTAGCTATCCGAAAGTAACTCGCCGGGAACCATACATTGTCTCGACAGGATTACCACTTTTGAAAGCAGGGTCCACACAAAGTGTTCGTCATGCCATGTGGTCGATGTCATCATATTGTTGAAACTGAAGAGGTGCTCCACGTCTGTTCCTTTTCCAAGTGTAACAGTTGGATTTTGGACAGTGAACTACCTAGAACTACTACGCATTCTGACGCTGGAATGTCGGTGATGTTTACGACTTCAACACGCCAGGAGATTCTAAAAGAAATGCCAAGTCTTGTTTCACGTTGTTATGATCCTTCATTTTGGGAAGAACTACTGAAAATAAACAACCACTGTTCGCCATGAAATACGGACAACGAAACAACGTGAAGCACGTGATAACTAGTGATTCTCAGAGACACTGTTCAGTTTTTCAGTTAAAAGTATGATCGAACCTCCGGAACAAGGTAAGGAGGAATCAGGCGTGCCCACCATCACAGGTCTGATGAGACCTCTCAAATGCCCCCCCCCCGAAAATTACGACGAAATACTAAACTAGTTTCAAAAACTTCCTAACTAATTCTTCTAAGTTTCTGTGACATGACACAATGGTATTGACCAAAGCCACAAGCCGAAATGCAATCATTCTTCAAGACATGCCACATAGATTTTCCTCTTGAAGGATAGACCACCATCAAGAAGTAGGAAGGTCGCAGTCCCAAAATGATGTTTGGTGTTTTAAGAAGTACCAAGGGCTATCAGCTTTTAGTAAAGATAAGTAACACTCTTGCACTCAAGTACTGATGTACACCTCATCATAAATGTCATTTTGAGGAACTATCTCCTCAAGAAACATCAAATAACTAGTTCAGTTGCCTTTACAACCCTGGAAATAGAACTCACGTTTGCTTGCATCACCATCATCTGATGCCGAATGTGGGAACAGTGTGGATTTAGGGAGTGAACGGTCCGATTTCTCTGACCGACGGGTTGGCAGTTCCTTGTTTATCATGGAGCAGTTATGGTAGATCATTTGTGTCTCTGAAAGCCGGTGCGAAGCGGTATCCGCTGGCCGTCTCGCGGTAGACGGATAGCTGGTGCAAGATTCTGGAGCTTTTTTCGCAAAGCTGCATGAACGAGACAACCCTGGTCGTCTCTGACTAGATAGTGACTGTCTCCCGGATCGAGAACTACAGGCATTTTGATCCTCCAGGGAGTCGGTACCAGGGTCCCATTCGTCTAGCACATGAAAACCTACAGAACTCCGATCAGTGGACACCGCGCTTGCGCGTGGCTTGATTGCACTACTGCGGAGCTTGTTCGAATGCTCTTGTCCGCTCCCTGCCGCTTGCTGTTCGGCTTTCACTGATTCATATGCTGATTTCGACCTGAACTGTTTACTATGAAGGATATTTGGTTGCTTTGCTAGAATACCTGCCCGTTTTTGCCTTGTCAGTAGCATATCCTCATCGCCACATTCTTTAGCCGACTTTTGATGTGAACAAGATAGAGACCGGTCTTGTACAGGCGAAACCAGTAGGTCGCTGATAAGTTGGAGTTGACCTGACGTCGTTGAGTGTGATTCTTCTTTCAGTTGTACTGATTCATCATGGAAAAGCTTGATCCAGTTGTTGCCGGCAAAAGAACACTGTGATAAATTGCAGTGTTTTCTGCTGTTTCCAACGTTAATCTGCGGCTCAAATGATATAAATTTTGGCGCCATGTCATCGGTTGACGGTCTTTGAGCCAAGTCCATTTCGTAAGACGAACGTGTATTGATGTTTGGACTGCAAGCTGGCAGTCGTAAACAGTCCGGTGTAGGCACATTCATTCTCAAATATGAATCTCCGGCATAAAATTGTTTCCTTTTCGGGGTAGAAGTTGATCGCTTTGAAATCTCGGTGCCTTCAACTGGAGAAGGATCAGTGTAATATGGTTCAACCAGCATTATATCGTTTTGTATTTCTGAGGCCTTCGGGTTAAAGGTAGCACTCATATGTTTTTGCATTTCCCTCCTTGGTTGGAACTCATTTTGTGCCTTAGAATCTGTTGAGCTTGTGAGCATATTGCTTCTGTAATGTCTCGGTTCGTGTAGATACATCGCATTATCGGTATAGGTATTGTTTAGGATTTTATCTGGTTCGCCGGGCTCTACTTGACTGAAGGCATCATGCACTTGATATACGGAACTAACATCGGTATTGACGCTGGCATCCGACTTCGAGAGCTTCTTCGTACAGATTTCATTGAGAAACGGAGAATAAGTTGGACTGACTATTCCTTGGGTTTGAATACCATATATGCCGGATGAATAAGGTCTAACCGGAGAAGTGTCCTTGAACGACTGTCTGTATCCCAGCGACACATCGTTATCTGTCCACCGACTGTATGGACTGATTGCGTGGTAGTTCGGACAGTTCTCCCCAGAACAAGGCCTACTCATCATAGGCAAACCCAACCTTTGAGATCTGCGTTTTCGCCGTCTAAAAAGCCGCCTCAGTGATGCTCGTAGTCGGGCCTCCAGTACTTTGCCTGGCCATCTCATGATGACTTTGTCTTCCCGTGTGAAATAGAGCACTCATCTAGCTGGATTCATGTTTTGTTACATTCGCCACATCCCAGGGGCTGTAATACATTTAAATAGCGCCAGCAAAGCAAGGCCGTTTCGATCGATTTGGCTTGGTAGGATCACGTGCTCAGGTTGACGCAACACTGCCATCCTATGCCTGGCCGTCAAGGGACTCCAGTAATAACTCATTTTAACATTGTGAACGAAAATTCATAAAATATTAAACGCAACGAGGATTTTTAGGCTGACCAACGTCACCGGTTTCTAATGTGACCTAGTGAGAGTTGTGTGAAGCAGTAAAATTTGTGCTCTGAAGAAATATTTTATTTTCAGGAGGAAACATGCCTCGTCACAAAAAACACATCCGTAGTAGACAAAGTGCATTACATGCCGGATCATCATTTTGGGGAAATTATTTAACCTGAGAAAAATAATGTGCAATTTAAACATATCTAGTTTGAAGTCTGTCCCGACTTATAAAGGCCACATTTTTCGTGGTAAGGTAACCGGTTACTACTTCTAAAAAAACTTAAAAGAATTGCGTGCACATCAACTTGAAGGCGCTTTCTTGATAAGAAGGATTCCGGGTCCACCAAATGATAATTAAATTCAGAGTTTTCTACAAAGTGTCAGGCTGTCTTGAATCGAAAATAAAAATATCTATTCATGAAGTTGCTGAATGACGTTCGGGTGACCACACGCAGGTGTGACAAATTCTCGTGGATAAAGACTCTACGCAAAAGTCGATAAACATATATTTTACTTGAATACTCTAGAAACTAGGAGTTTCTAAAACGTGACGTCCGTTTTGAACAAAGTTGCTATACTAGAAGTGTTGCAGAACAAATTTTCTGGAGCGATACTCGAGAAAAGCGGGGAAGACTTGCTCACAAGGACTAAGACTCGTCTAACCAAGATGCAAAATTGGGTCTTCTCGAATTTTTTCTTGCTCTTCTGGTTTGACCATATGTGTCATCTGCACGCAGGCTTTATAAGAGTATAGATGTGACTGCCTTCCCGACCATTTTCTTAGCAAACTTGCCGGCTGAGGAAGTTCGCACAAAAGATGATTAGCAGAAAATGTACCACATCGGGCAAGTGAAAAATCATCTTGGTTCGCATACACATTCTTGCTGTGCATTCATCATTCAAGTGGATATTAGGAAATACATAGTTAAACAATAAAAACTACTCACACGGTTGGTGAAAACTCTTCGAGAGAGCATGACCAGTTTCGTCCTTCTTGAGGCTCATCAGGTAGGCGCAGTCCCCGAGTTTCCACCAACCTTATGTTTTATTTGAACCCAAATTTGACTGCTTTCGAGAAATACACTCATTTGCAAACCAACTTGGTTTTCCTTTATGAAAGTATACTGCGATATCTGGAATATCGTTCCAACTGAAACATCAGACGATCTGTGTGCAGCGCATTCAGTTGTAGAATATCATAAACGAGAGATTCAGTGGAGTCCATCGTGAAAACCAAATTGATTTGCAAATGAGTATACTTCTCGGAATCCATGGTTATTTTTATTTCCTCTGCTGTGTTTTGGACTACTTCATTTCTAGACTCCTGATTAAGGATTTGCATACGAAGATAAACTCATTTCCATAGAACTCTAATGAAATTTTGGTGAATATGACTACTTATTTGGCTGTGGATCACGTAACTGTTGACCTGTTCGCTGAGCTTGGCAGCTGGCAAACATCGCCAGTGTGCACCATCATCATCATCATCCTTATCATCATCCGCATGCCGATGATATCCTCTGGAAAGGTCCGTAAGCAAATTGTCCAGCTCACAGCGGTCACTTGATCTACAGTCAATTAGCGCAATCAAGCCACCAATATTTCTATATATTTCAGAGATCACACATGACACTGTGCCATAGATAGGGCCAGATCCACCTGATTACTCAAACCGAGAAAATAAATTCCCGAACATTAGTGAATATACACTCATTTGAAACTAATTTTGGTTTTTTCGAGAGACTTACCTGGAACCCAGCTGAATCTCTCGTTTGTGATGTTCTCAGGCAACTGAATGTGCTGCACCAGGACGCCTCATGTTTCAGTCGCTACGATATTTGAGATATCGCGATACATGTATATATTTGTAATGTACTACTCATAAGGTTGCTGAAAATCCGTCGACAGCCCACGACCTTATGAGTAGTACATTACAAAGAAATTCCCGAGCAGTTCGGCATCAGACCGCATGACTTTTAGTAGACCGCGAGTCGGACTGAAAAAGCTATTCTGGCTAATCCTACTATGCCCTGTTACACTGGAATATCCCGGCATTCTCAAGTGAGGTATGTTAATGGAATTCCTCGGTTGACCCGAAAGAAACCTAACAAGCCATCCATAATCAGCCTGAAGTGTCCAAAAAGGTACCCAAACTACTACACAAAACCGGAAGTGTTCGCTTCCAACTAAGCATTTTAACATCTCTCTATTGGATTCCTGTCAGGTCTATCAACTTCTTAGTGGACGATCAAATTTATTAGCTATCAGGAAAACCCGTTGTTTTTAGTGCACGGAATACTTTTTATGGAGAAGTTAAGTTCCGTGCACGCAACAGACCAAGCCTGGGTACACATTTCAAACACTGTTAAAAGAAAGCTACGTCTTCTTTTGTTCGCACTCTGCAGAACAACATGGGCTGGCTAAAAAAATCTGCAATGGACTTTAAACACCACTGAACCTGTGATTTGGCTTCTAGTCCCTAGTCTTAACCTTTAGAGTACCATTTTAAGTCCGCTAAGCTCAAGACACTTGATCATCTTTCTACCGGAGTGGCTCCAGGTGAGTTTTGAGAAGCGATTTCTGCTTTTTACTCCAAAGCTGGGGCTGGAATAGGTGTCTTCTATAAACGATATCCTTTAATGTGAAAGTGCGGAACATGGTATTCATTGAGAATTGAGTTCGAGTATTATCAGATTGATCGCTTTTGGAATCCAACAGGACAGTTTCGAAACTGATTGGATATTCACAACGTTTAGGGCACAAATCTCCTTAGATTCAGCCGTCCATAGTTGAGGTGCACTACATTACAGGGAGTATCAAAACTAGCCGGCACAGTGGTCCATTTCAAGAGCTTATCGCATATTCACTCCATAGTTATGTATTTTGGAGAACTCACACCTCGGGGACCGAAGTAGATTATGGTTTGTACAAAAGTGAACCCGTTGAATTAAGGCTTCTACAAACCTGATGTAGCTGAATAGACCCGGGCGAATACCCATCAATGTCTGGACCAGAGTCAACTGGAGGATCTTCTCTCTGAGGCCAAGTGAGATTTGAAAGCTCTTGTCTAATATCAGCATAAAGAGATTATGATACCCTAATCGAGATATCAGTCGTTTCACCCTTGTTGAAAAGCGTTAGTAGTACGCATTTCACTGACCTTCAGAGTGATTCATATCCACAACTGTCCGGCATGTTGTTGAAGGCTGTACAGTTTGGTGACGGGTGGTTGGTCAGCAGTCTGATGGAATCACACAATGTCACTCCTCTTTCAACCAAGCAGAGCTAAACGCCCGAGAAATCGCTAACCGAGGGACCAACCAACACGCAGTAACGTGATGTGGTTTACTTCAATGAAGGGGAAAATGGCCCTACATTCTGTGTACATCTGGCTTAATCATTTTTCCGGCCAGCTACTCTTTGCCGAAAGGTTCCACTTCTAGCAGGAGGGAAGCGGGTTCCGACCTCCGAGCTTCGAATCACCCCAGAGCTTCGTCGAAATTGCACTGATAGTGATTTTTCATAAGGATAAAACAGCTGTTCAGCGTGGACTGCCCGTTGACCTCGATCGGTTACGGCAATTGAAAGGGTCTGTTTTTCCAACGACCATACAAATAAAAGACAACTTACTGGGTGAAAATCCATCGGTAAAGTTTCACTGGTTGACTGCCTGACAGTGAATAACTTTTGGGTTTCCGTACACGGATTTATGCTCGCGGCTTCACTATGAAAATTTGGAACATGAGAAATGTATGCGATATTTTTCTGACTTCAAAATCTGGAGTTTAGATGTACTTCCTAGAAGTTGTCAGAGGCGGATAGCACGAAGTAGTTCGGATTCGGTGAAGAGCCAGATTTGTATCTGGTGACGTGGTGGAATGTTAGTAGCTCAGGTGCATTCATTGGTAGTTGATCACTTGGTTGCTGATCTATTCGCCCAGCTTGGCAGTTAACTTGCAGACTTCTTGTCACCATTCGAGGACATTGTCTGTGCACAATCTTTATGGCTGGACGAATGATAATGAAATGTCTGCAGGTCAACTTCCAAACTCGACAAACGGTCACCTGATCAGCGATCGACAGATCAATATCTTTTCCTCATTGTTATGAACTATGTGCATCCCTCAAAAACTGCAGGTGATTTTTTTGCACTTTCAGGATTGAGATTCAAGAAAGGAATGAACTCCAGGAAGTTTACTGGTCAACTTTTGGCAGTGCTGATTCCTTTGCCAATGGACCGAGAATTTCTCTTTTTCAAGCTAGCACGTTTTCGAGGCTATCCAAAGCAGTATGTTTGGCTGTTTGGCACAAGAAAACACCATTCAAAAGGATTAGCGCCGGAAGAGCACTTAACCGCTCGAGCGTTGAACAAACAGCGCCTTGTGGTTGCCAACGTTACGAATGGGACAAATCCTTTTTAATGATCCACATCAGGGCTCTCTCCATTCCAACGTAAACACCTGTGTTGAGCATTGTTACCAGGCTGACAGGCCGATCCACACAGGTGACAAGTATGGTTCTTCATTGGGTGCTTCACCGGAGCACGGTCCAGAGCTTGCGCCAGATGGAATGCACTTTAGGGATCTACCTAGGTGGCTTTCGGTACGAATCGATGTTTTGCACACTAAAATTCAACAGTTCCTTACTAGACTGCTTCTCTTCATTTGGAAATCTAGTAAAATATCAATCATCCTGACGCAAAAAAATCAAAACCTTTAAGCTAATCATTCACAAATGATGAAATTGCCGCCGCTTTTCCTCTCGAGTGCTTTCTTTTAGTTAACTCTGGATACATGCTCCACACAACTCATG